CGGAAAATACAAACATGTTAGATTGCTGATAGTCGATAGAAGCGAATTCTATTTTGTAAAAGCGGAAGGTTGGGCAAAATGAGTAGTGTAGTGTATTTGCAGACAACCATCACTCCCTTGAAAGTTGCGCGATGAATTATGACCTTCTAAGTGATTACTTTTCTCTTCATTATACATTGTGTAACCCCCTAAGTTGGATACTAATTAACCTAGCCTTTGACGTCACAGTGCACAAATAAATCATGGTCGCATTCTCGTCTGACCCAATAGAGGGCGCTTGAAAATAGCCAAGATGGCGGCGACTATATGGAATATTATATGGTATCATAACTCTATTATTTTTTTATTTTTTTTAATTTGTTTTGTCCATTATTTAAATAAATGTACATAACTGCTGCTATATGGCCAACAATATTGACAGGATTGACCTTTCCTTTAATATACTCGTAACATCGTTTTAGTCATAAGTAACGGGCGACATTGGCTGTATATTCTTAACAAGGAGTTATTGTATCATTACACTCGTTATGCCGAACTTTAATACGGCGATAAAGTGTTGTCAAAATCACACCAAACGTTGTAGAAACTTGTGTCTTTAGTTGTCCTACCATGATCAATGCTGGTAATTAATCTAAGTACGATATAGGTCAGAAGGACTAATGAATCACAGTAATAAGAATATATAAGGAACCTTTTGCAAAGCGGAGGCGTGTCGAAGATTTCTTTTCTGAAAATATTCAAGTATAATTCAAATATGAACGACAAGTTCATATTTATAAGAATACTTTTACATTATAAAACTTGTTGTTGATATTATTCAATATTATCTCACGAACATACCAATAGAGCTATAACAAGATTAATGAAAAAAGAACTTAATAAAAATACTAGGAAATCCTTGAAATCCAGCAAGAAGAGTTGGGCTATTGTTCAAAATTCTGAAATAAAATTATAGGGTGACCAAACTAAGTTTTCCAAAGAACGACCTGAACATGCATTTTTTGAATAGTTAACAATTGATTCCTATGACAGAAATATCCCATCATATCGCAAAATTGTGTACGTGACGTATGCTAAAAATGATGTAGTATTGTGAGAGCTACATATGGAGTATTTTGAATATTAGTATATTAGTTATCCATTAAATAATATGTTTACATGGAATTCTATGGCAAATGTTCCAAAATGGCCGATATTTAGAACATTTTGGATATGCTTTCTTGGAAACGCATCCTTCGTTCTTCTTGAAAACTTTAAATATGAATGACGTGCATGTGTGTGAATCACAACAATGTTCGAAGAAGACTGTGATAATTTTTAATGGTATCTAACATAAGATACACGGTTAGCGATTAACGGGTAATGTGAGTATCAACGCACATCGTAGACTTTTAAAGCATCACTAAAATGTATCATGATTGCATTGATCGTGAATAGAAAATTAATAAATAACAAGCAAATGGTATGAAAACTCACTGCAAAATTACTCACTGCAAATTATATTTCTGTAAAAACGATATTGAATAAATTTGTTTAAAAATGTAAAAATCTGAGCAAAAATCAATATTTTAGTACACAAATACATTACAATACGAATATTTAGAACTTCTTCACTATATGGAAATCGGAACATATCCGAAGATAAATTCAGTTACTGAATATCCATGAAAAAGGGCCCCTTCGGGAAAAGGCGTTTTTCTTTGATATACGAAGTTTTGTTTGATGATTAACATCATTTCAATACTTTACAGGGGAACTTGAATTTACTGAATCGTGCGAATAGATTGCCGTGATAATAGCTGACATCATCTTAGTTACCTTGTGACCAGCTTGCATCCGAGTAGCGACTGCACTGGGTCTTTATTGAATAATCTACCGATTGATACAAATGTTAACACTAGGGGTATTCACCTGATTTTTGGGCGGGAGTAAAAACTGGTCGTTGAGGGCGCTTTGGCTCAACAATTTGCGTTTTTCGCTAAAAAAATTGCTAAAATATTAAAATTGGCAGTCTAAAACAGCGGAGCATACCTGTTTACTTCATGTGAAAGTAGTTAGAATTTTGAATTTGCGCACCGTGTTTGTATTTTTTTTTTCTTCTTTTCAAAAGAATTATTTGTGTCTATAAACTGTATGTGCATATCATTTTGTTGTATTGGTAAAAATAATCTGCTAGTTTTCAAAACTACCGATTCTACAAAAAAATCAGCCGGTCTCTGACCGTCAAACCGTCGTTATTCCTCACACTAACCATGATATTATTCATTCTGTTATTTATTATCTTGTTGATATTACACCTCGTTAAGGGCGCTGTTTATGGAGTTATCGGAATTATTTTTCAAATTCCCTTTCACATTCCAAAAAATATTAGTCTATGTACTATTGAGAGACTTTTTTATATTAAATTAACACTAATTCTATAATTCAAATTACTTAAGTATTTAGAAGTATAAATGTGCCATGAAAATGGGGAATTAAAGTATAATCAGGCTCAAAAGCTAATATTTGCTTGACGACAATTTCGTCGTAGAAAGTGTTACTTCTCTAGTCGCGCGTGACTTCCCCAATCCCCTACCGAGTTTTCAAAATGGGAACCCTAGAAATAGACTGTCGACAGTCCCCGGGCCTATGTGACCCTATGTGATCATTGTGTATCCTCGACATTCAAACGCCGATGGAAATGCGAAGCATTTCACGCGAGGGACTCCATACTTCCTGTCCCGGAGTTCGAAATTTATTCACGCCTATAACGTTTATACACAATATTTATTAATAATAACAGATTAATATTAGGTACGACCGACTGTCGACAGTCTACCCTAGAAACAGTTAAAGCTGCTAAATAATTGGAGGAAAGAGATAACTAACACAATACAGATTCACAAGAGTAAAATCAAAATGGCGACCAAAATGGAAGTAGACCAGTCGCCTCCGTCGGGAAAATCTGTCCCTGGGTCGGTAATGGCTTCTGCAGGAACCACAGCAAGTGTTACAGTCGCCCTACATCCACTGGTTATTATGAATGTATCAGAACATTGGACTAGAATTAAAGCACAGGAAGGAAAACCGTTGCAAGGTAAGATCAAAACATGTTGTGATACCCCCCCCCCTCCCATATATGCGTACTTATTCAACCACAGTACTGACAAGGAGTTACTAGTATACAGGTGCGTGGTCTTAACAAATTAATTGCATTTAGAAATGATATACTTATTTCTCAATAAAGTGGACACAGTTTGTAAAACTATTAGTAAAATTTTCGTCCGAGAAGATGAAATAAATTTACAATATTATTTAATTTTTCAAACTTATTAAACTTGACAAATTTCTCAGTAAAATTCGTGGTTCTGTGCATTTGAAAATATAGTTGGCTTTACCAATTTCACTTGTGTTACATCAATGAAAGACAAACTGATCCCTTTGACTTTCATTAATTAATTTCACAAAACTGCTAAGTAAAGAGAAATATTATACAACAAACAAGCAAGTGTTCCAGTTATAATAGAGAGTTTAAGATTTATGTAGGTAGCGGGAACGTATCGTGTTGTTCTAATTTCGTTTGTGTCACGTTTTCGGGTGTCAGAAAACGATTAAGTACAAGTGCACACAACGGGAACGTAACTGAAACAGAACCATGTATTATTAAAACCCGGCCCTCATTGGGTAACCATAATACAACCATCCAATAAAATTTGTTATGTCATTTCACGTCCGGAATCTGAATAGTAGTTAGTTCCCAGACATTTGACAGAGCTTTTGCTATTTCCATCCACTCTGCTGAGGTTCCAGGCCTGTTTGCCGAATCCTCTTTCAGCAGATCAATGTCAAGCGTTACCATTCATCTAAATACATGTCTTTTCGCGAGATTGGCCATTTTAAAATGTTAACTGGTTAGTACACGTCGCCTTTCGAGAAAGTGAACATAAATGCCCTGCGCTGTATGCTTTGTTTGCATAACGAGCTGATCAGTTGTGTACGTTTTCAGTGGGTATAAATATCAGCTAAAATGCATCCATCATATTTTCCCATAAATATACAAAATCACTCTAATATAAAACGTTCTATTTGGAAAGATAAAAAGTGAAAATTAATCAAAATTGACAGGGAGAAAAGCTCTCGGAAATCAACTACGAGTCAGCCACCTTGATCATGTTCAAAACGACTGCCATACGACCTGGCAACCGATGATGTCATTGGTTCGCACAGAGGTCATCACAAAGCAACGATGTATCCGTTCTCGTACGCACAAAAGTGTAAAGTGGTATAGTGTCCCTACTATACAGGGCAATTTTAACATTTCCTCATACCAGTCCTGGATTTGCAAATGACTGCAGACATTTATACACAGTTGCTGAACTTGAGGGACAGTAGACTTGTACCCCAAAACAATACAAAAAACAAATACTCTGTGCATTGATGTGACAAGTAAGTCAGTATTTTTAATTTTTCAACACCTGGTGTCACAATATATGTGGTACAGCTGATATATTGACTTCTAATCTATATATGTGAGTACCGGTAGGGCTTGTACTTCATGGAGGTATTAAAAGCAATTAACTCAATGCCCGTTGTGTTTGTCTTAGCTCCCTTTTATATTCACTATATTATTCACATATGCTATTTAAAGGCAATTTCAACAATTTTGTCCTTGAAAAGAAATACAATCTCAACTGCAAAGTTCAAGTCTGAGAGAATTATAATAGTATTGTTTGAAAAAATCATGGCATGTAACATTAGGCATTATACTCAGTCTGTTCACCCCAGTATTGCTATTTAACTTCTAGAGATCATACATTTTTTATTTGATATTCTTCAACAGTTCTTGGAGCTCTAATTGGAAATCAGAAAGGCAGGAACATAGAGGTGTTCAATTCTTTTGAGTTACTCTTTGATGAAATTGATGGTAACAAAATAATAGACAGAGAATATTATAATACAAAAGAAGAACAATGTAAGTAATAAAACCATAGTATTTTCACTGCAACCTTTTGCATATACCTATCCTGAATATTCTCTTGAAGTACTGATACTCGTATTCCAAATATTTGATATTAGAATCCAAATAATATAACTCTGTTGGCAGTATTTTACTTGATATGATGAATAACAATGTTTGCAATTGTCACTATTCCCTCACAATCGTCAACTGCCGTGAGAATACAGTTAACACTAGCCTTACCAGCTAGGAGAATGCTGTCGTCTAGCAATAGTTTTATCACAGTCTTAGTCCTCAATACTAAATGTGGACCAATTCATTGCTCAGTTCATTGTTTGATTAATGGCAAAACAGTTTGATCTACAGTTGAACACCATACATGTATCAATGAATCATTACATGGTCATTACACTACTGGTATATTTAAAGCGAGAGGATTGTCACATGCGTACGCGCATGAATTAAGTCCCAAGTGACGATAACAACACATGCTAAAGACGCAAAGGCTCATGGGCAGATGCTTCTTTGTAAACAATAACACGCTATGGCCATCTGAGGCATGTGCAGGTGACGACTCTTTCTGAAAAAAACAAGTCATTCATTCTGTTATTGATTTCCAGATGAAGATGTGTTCATTAGCTGGTAATTATATCGGTAATTGTAATTATTTTCAGTTAAACAAGTTTTCAAAGATCTTGACTTTCTTGGTTGGTATACCACTGGTGGACTACCAGACGAGTCAGATATCAAACTACACAAACAGGTACATGAATGTTTTTGTTTGAAAGATCAGATGTTAAGACTCACTGAGTTGTTGTGAATGATATGGGAGTGGACTTATAATTATCATCTTGATTAGTTAGTTTTGAGAAGGGTTTGTTATGGAAAAAAGGTTTGTTAAAAAATATTTTTGTTTACTTTGCAGATTTGTGAAATTAATGAAAGTCCTATCTTTTTGAAAATGAATCCACTTGCTAGGAATGCAGATGTAAGTTGTTATTGCCTTTTATCATATACATTGTATTGCCCCGCCTTGTAACGCTATGGAAATCCCAATGCGCGAGCCGTGCAATAATAATTTGAGTCTGTGCTTCGATAACGGCTGACGATATTATTCAGTGGATGGGAAATATACCAAAAAAACAGTCGGATTAATTAGTACCCTAAAAAAGCCGGCATTCCACCACAACCAATCATAAAGATAACTGGTCACAAAAACGTGTCAAGTTTACAGCACTGCGATACTCACAGTACGATCTTGGGCTGCAAAAGCCGTATCCAGTTCATAAAGAATATTGTCATTCTGAAATGTCCATCATATCAGGATAGAATCCACTCATTATGCCAACAGTTACATACCCAATATGTAATATGTACCTGTATCCTCTACCAACTGTTACATACCCAATACATGCCTGTATCCTCTACCAACAGTTACATACCCAATACATGCCTGCATCCTCTACCAACTGTTACATACCCAATACATGCCTGTATCCTCTACCAACAGTTACATACCCAATACATGCCTGCATCCTCTACCAACTGTTACATACCCAATACATACCTGCATCCTCTACCAACAGTTACATACCCAATACATGCCTGCATCCTC